TTCAGCAGCTTTTGACCAATTTCTTGTTTTCTACTCAGTACCACAGAAAATTACTATACAAGCTTTCAGAAATGATTCATAAAGTAGACAGTGACCCCTGAACAACACACTATATACTTATTCTTATATCTAGAAGGGAATCCTTTAAATCAGGTATAGTAAAAATAAAACTCACATAGGAAAAGGCTCCTGCTCGACTTCTGAGCAAAAGGCAGATGTATAAGTTATTTATAGAAGTTTTGCATAAATGTCAGTGTTTATTGAAATTAGGGAATTAAACAATCCTAACTAAGAATAGGTAGGACAGGAGGATGTGCCATCTAGGCTTCCACATTTAGCTTTATAATACCCATCAGATAAAACCTGCACCACTCTTTGTCCTGTACCAGAGCTGTAACAGCTAGTTGCACCTTTGTCCTTTTGCTAGTCTCTGACTTCATCCCCCCAGGCTTCAAGCCCCATGGCTTTGTTGTGTGATTCCAGTCCAGGAAAGGCACTCTCACACTTTGACTGAGCCTTGGGCTACAGTGCCCTGTGTGAAGAGCCAGCCTTAGGGAAAATGGCACCCTGGGCAGACTTGTACTCTGGTGCTTTCCCTCCCCAGCACCACCCGCCCTGCACCTGAGCAGTGCTGCTTCATGCAGAGTTAGGCAGACAGAGGCACAGGACTGGAGCAAACCCTGCCCTCACTGTCCACCCCGGCTCCTCCCAAGCAGCGGCCACAGGGACACCAGCTCCCACGCTGCAGGCAGATGGTACCACCCCTGCCCCACATTGCCCCCTCGCAGGCTGCCAGGGCGGTCTGTGACCAAGGGGCTGCTGTAATGGGACAGGGATGCATCCTGCTGCTGCCTGAGCCTGGTGCAGAGCTGGGGCAGGGGACACCTGGGGGCCCCGCGTTGTCTATGCTACCATGGCAAGGCACCCTCTGTCCACCAGGCAGCAACAGGGACAGGAACAGAGGCAGTGTGGACTTGTGCTCCCCGCTCTGCTGGGCAGGCAAGGGGCATGAGGCTAGCATGGGGCTCCCGGGAGAAAGGCAGCAAAGTGGGGAGCCCCAAGGCTGAAACAGGCAGCCCTCATCCAGCCCCATTCTCCTTGGCTCTGGTCTGGCTGTGCTGCCAGCTGGGGGGGGGTGTGGAGGAGGTGAGGCATGTGTTCCATTTTTCCCTTTTGAAAAGGTGGTCACCCTAACCAGAGTGGAGCTGGGTGCTTACCTGCTCCATGCTACAGAGGACACAGGCTGCAGTGAAGCAGGCCAGGATAGGCATGCGGAGTGGAGCACAGCCAGTGGCTGAGAAGAGAAAGTTGGGAGTCAATCAGGAGGTGGCAGGACCAGCTTGGCCCACCCCCTGCCTCCCTCTGCCATGCTGAGATCTTGGGATAATAGGGGAGGGGGGGGGGCACTGCCTAGGGTGGCCATAGGTCCTGTTTTCTACTAAACTGTCCTATTTTTAAACACTTTGTCCCCTGTCCATTTCTGAATGAGGAACAGACTGCAAAAAGTCCTGTTCTTCCACTTCATTGGTAGAAATACACGTCAATCATTTGTCCTTGTGATTCTATTAGCCATGCCTAGAAAAAGGGCAGTGCATCGGCAGCAGAAACAGGGTTCCCAGCCAAGAAGGGAGGGAGGCTGGCTTTTTGTGGTGGTCTTGTCCGTTGCTGCTAAGTCCCACCTCTCGCTGCTGACTGGCCAGGGAGGTGGTGGCTGCACCCCTCACCAAGGGGATAATTTTGTATTCTAGGGACCCAACAGTGGCCACCCTAGTGCTGTCCCACGTGGCTGAGCCAGGGGTGTAGGAGGGGACTCCATGGAGGCGGAGAGCAGCAGCTGGACTCAGCTGGCCCCTGCTGAGCTGGGCTGGCACCGATCTTCCTTCTGGGGGCAGTAATCAAGTAGGGGGCGGGGCAAATGGGCATTTGGTGCCCCCCACCCGATTACGGCACCCTAGGCAGTCACCCACATTGCCCATCCCTAAGGCCAGCTCTGCCTGTGTGTAACAGCATAAACCCAGCTGGGCCTACTGGGTAGATCTCCTGCAGTTCTTCCTTTCTGGAGTCTGTGACTAATTTTGTGTTTAGTGAGCTGAAAGACTTTAAACCAAAAGTACTTTTTAATTCTAAGAGCAGAAACAAAGTACTTAGTTTAGTCAAAACAGATTTTATAAACAAGTCTACATACAGGCCTGTCTTAACATGGAGCCTTACCACCTGTGTAGGAGCTGCAGGCCTAACTTCTACTGCTAGTAGTTCTGGATGAATCCGATTTTTCTGATCAGCCTTCCAACAAGTATGTCTGGTCTTAAGAGAGCCCCTTATAATCTATGGAGAGTCGCTATGGAGAGTCGCTATAATCTATGGAGAGTGGAGTGTTTTCAGTTACTCAGATTTATCCCTATCTGTCTAAATCAGTTTTCTACAATGGCTAAAACCACAAAGCATAACTTTCACAGCTAATAGTTTAGGCATTGCCTTTTCACAACCCATAAGTGTTTTATAGGAAAAAAGTGGTTTATCCTATATTTTCCTTCCTACCTGGTTTTTTTATACCCACCTATTTAACTAAATCACTATATTTTAAACAGTAAATGCCTCAATAACCAGGGTTCTTGGAAAATGTTACAATTAAGATGTGATTAACCTGTTAATTGTGCCATAAACAGTAACCCACCATACGCTCAAGGAATTAACGCCGTGACAAAATGGGAAGCCAGCCAAAAAAAAAAATCCACAAAAGATGTATAAAATGTTTATGCATTGGTTTTTATTACACCTGAAATTGACAGTGTGGCAGAATAACCAGAGCCAACTCAGGACTCTGGTGTGGTCCTGGGTCTAGGATAGACAATCAGCTGAACCAGCCCCAGTGCAATTTCACAGCTGAGACAGCCAATCAACCAGGGACTGATGGTTGGGGAAGCTCTAATTGTAGTGACAGAGAGAGAGAATGTCCTTTTTGCCTTCACATACACTAATCACTAACACCAGGCAACCCTACAGACCACTGGTTAGAACAAAAGGCTGGAGACCCAAAGGCTTCTGGAGTCTATTCCAAACTAAGCTTCTGAATTACTAGACTGAAAAATATAATTTTAAAAGCAATGCACCTCTTCCCTGCAAATTTCACTGCCACATAAAACCATTATAAAGACTGAATATAATATATTATACTAATAATTTTCAGAGCTCCTATAAAATTCTCCCATTGTTTGCAAAATCCCTATCTGTCCTTCAGCTAGTACAGAAGTGTACAAGATCCTGATAGCTTCCTTCCCCAACCCACCCCAGAAAAAGGCAAAAAAGAAAAAACCCACAAAGTAGAAAACAGATGCCATCACATAGATTTTTAATTTGTTTCCTAGTAAATAAAGAAAAATGTCAAGTCACACTGAAATATTTTCCAGCTGAGACAAAGTAATGAGAAAGAATCTAGCACAAGAAAAAGCATTATTTTTAAAATCAATATAGCTTAATAAAATTTGGTCAAGCAAGCATCTGGCCATACACTTGCCATCTTCCTTGATGAGTGAATATCAGAGCTCAGCAATCTAATGGCCATTGTTGTAAATATTTCACATGAGGCTTTTCTTCCATCACCAGCCACTATTGCCTTACAAGTCCCGATTAACTTTGGGACTGGAGCTTGGCTAATAATTATGGCCCTGTTACCAGACAGAAATTAGCCTATTTATCTGCATTAGAACTGCAGAAATCTGTTTGCCAGACTAGTTTGCTCGGCTAAATGGCCTTTCCCAAGCTTGCAGTGACTCCGTCTTGTAAGTAGGGCTGAGTATGACATGGTTCTCCTGTCCCATGAGACATGGAAAGTTAAAAAAAAAAAAAAACAACCTTCTCCTGCCTCATTGAGGCAAAACAAGAAAAAAGTTGCAAAGATATCCAGGCACTCTAATGCATAGACAGTCTAGATATCTTGAAGACAGATTGAGATTTGAGCCACTGGGTGCACATGCTCTGCCACTGAGAGGAAGAACACAGAAGTGGGTCTGTCTTCCTCATGCATAAGAGAGATCCACTACAGAACAGCCAGTAATCAAGTGACTATGGCGCTCATTTGGCATAGGAGAGAAGGGCAAAGATGGGCAGGAAAAAGGGTTTTCCACATGACTACCCTAATCACTAGGCTACTGTGAGAATTTACTGGCTCTCCCTCACTCTCTCCTGGAATTTCATTCTGGACCTGAGAAACTTTTCCCAACATTTCATTTTTGATGAAGCTTTTATCCCCACAAAAAGGGGGAAGAGCTCTTGTTTTTTCCCAACAAATCAGGATAACCACTGTTATCAAAACTTTTTTGACCAGTCCTACTTCCAAGCTACTGGCATGAACTCAGGCCAATGTTTTATTCTGGGAATGAATGAGACTCCTTAGATTGCTGATGGAAAAATGAGCCTTAAAACAAGTGCCCACTGCATAAGGAAATAGAAGTTAAGCACTGGAACTACTTCAAAAAAAGGCTGGGTTAGGCAATATCACAAGGTCACTTGGAGTTGTGTTCCAAA